GTGCTGCACAGTGGCGATCAGCAATGGTGTGGTTGTGAAATGGTTCTGTATTTGTGTATTATTGTGTATTTATGTATGTATGTGTATGTATTTATGTATGTATGTATTTATAATTATGCATTTATGTATGTGTGCTGTATGTTTGCCATTGTAAACCAAATTTTGCTCTTACAGGATCAATAAAATGGTACTTTTTAAAATGTATTTATTCTATAATATATCTATGACAGTGGTGAGATTCCAGAAGATAATAAATATATTAGTTTTTATAGCTTAGTCTAAAACACACCGTATGCATTAAAAAAATAAACCTTATGAGTAGTTTTCCATAGATTTTGCTGTGAGTTTTAATATGAAGAGTAAGAAAAAATCTGAGACCAGAGGTATCTAAAACATATTTCGGTTTTGTTCCTGACAAGGGCTTCATATATTATTATTCGATATTAACATTAACAATGTTAATGGAAATAAGTATTGAAGCTCAAAAAGACATATTGTGCTTCACAAATCATTGATTATTCATAGGCTTTCAATAAAGTTAGGCACGATGAGTTATTTAGAATTCTTCGAAAGGGTGGTCGTAGATGGAAACGACCTCAGAATAAATAGGAATTGTAATGGGACCAAAACACTACTGTGAGAATTGATGGAGAATACAGCCAATATAAGACAGATTTAAATAAGAGTGTGGCAAGGGTGTGCATGTCACCAGCAGACCTCTTTTACATTTAAAATGAAACAATTCTTAGAAATATAGAAGAATGTACATGTCTCAAAATGAATGGCAAAAATATTTAAAACGTCAGAAATGCCAATCACACCGTTAAATAGCAGATCCTTCCATCGTTTCTAAATTCTGTTGTAACGGAAAGTAAATGTAAAGGTTCATTGTTGAATGTGAAGAAAACTGCATAGTATACTGACGAGCAAAAGAAAGGGGGCACCCTACGGTCTGTGCATTATTTCCGTTCTTTACCGCAGTAATGCCGTATTGCCAATGAATTTTGAAAGGTTTGCCATTTGTTCAATAAATGCAGACAAAAAAACTAAGAAAAACGATCAAAAGCACACCTTTTATTAGAAATTAATAACACCTATTCAAATGTCCAAAATCTCAGAATTAGTAATGGGTGTAATTCCCACCAGCATTGATGACTAAAGTGCATCTCTGCTTCATGGATTGCACATGTCGTTGGATAAATTGCTGGGGAATATTATTCCAAGCATTAATTAATTATTTCTGCAGTTGTGGGATTGTCGTTGGGGGTGGCCGAAGGGTGCGAATTTCCTTGTCCATCGTGTCGCAGAGGTGCTCAATCACGTTTAAATTTGGGGATAATACTGGCAACGGTGTTATAACACGTACGTCATTTTTGTTGTAAGAATCTCTGGGTAATAAAGGCACGGTGTGCTGCTGCATTGTTCTGCTGGACCACGAGACTGTTCCTGTGGCGAGCCAGAAACGGCAGAAGGTGTGGATAGAGAACGTTATTGATGAATCTCTGGGCAGTCAGATTACCGTCGATAATGACTAGATCGAATTTGTCAGTAATGGTTATGGATTCCCATACCATAATGCTGCGTTTGTCAGCAACAGCACTGACACACTGAGATAAATAACGTTCATGACGTCTCCGGTAGACTTTCTGCCTTCCATCGTGGCGATCCAAAAGAAATCTGGACTCGTCAGAAAACATCACTCTGTTCCACTGGCGGTTTAGCCATCGCCAGTGCAGATAAGCCCAGTTGAGTCTGGCATGATGGTGTCTTTGGAGGAGACGAGTGCGTCGAGCTGGGTGTCGGGCAACGATTCCGTGGGCTTTCAAGCGTCGACGAACGGTGGAGCGGCTGATTGGTCTATACCCAGGCCAATCTCTGGCAGTTTTAGAAGCTGTTTGAAACCGATCCCGCGAGTGTGGAACTCTGATCCGATTTTGTCTTCAACGGCAGTAGAGACACGCGGACGACCAGACCTTACACACGTTGAAGTGTGTAACGAAAAAAAATTAAAAGTAAAGGTATTGTAAACTTTCAAGAAAAAACGAGAAAACCCGTTTTTGGCCAAACGTATTGAAAATACTTTTTATAACAACAAAATAAACAATTAATGTTGTTCTGACCGACTTTCTGAAGTGACTCAAGCTCAGTATGCCAATCGCCAAGTCAAAATTCGCTAAACTACTCACGCGGCACCGATTTGAAAACTTCCCACTTTCTTTAGCTCGCCAGTATAGAATAGAAGTAATATTATTTTTTTTTAACCCAGTAAATCATATTTGTAATTTCATAAGCAAAAGTGTAAAGATCAAACAAGTTCAACAGTTTACATAATATATAAGATATGCAACACTACATCTTATTCCAAATTTTCCACAGAAATGAATTTAATCAGGAAATGTTATGGCTAATTAAATAAAATGAGCTCAATCCTGAAAAATACAAACATCTCAATGATTACCCAAATGATTATTTTGAAAGGCTATGAATGGTCAACTCTTCCAGACGGCTGTGAATGCTGGTCAGTGGCTAAAAAGGTGAAAATAAAGTAAAAAGCGTTGTTTCATATGAGATTACTTAGAAGTACTTGCAAGGAAACGAAATGAAAATAGGTAGTACTTGAAGAAGCAAATGTGGGCCGCTCGCTCATGAAAATACACAGAAAGGCAAAATACAGTGTCTTGGACACTTGAATAGTCGAAAAAGGTCGTGAACATCTAGCTCTCACTGGAAAATGTGAAGGCAAAAGAGGCAGGGGTAGACCCAAAACAACTAACTTTTACGGTTTAAACAGGCAGATGCAAGGGAAAGTTCTGCATTATAATGAAGCTTTTTTCAAAGCATCTGAGCAAAGAAACGAAGAGAGAACCACGATCGTCCATGTTTGTCGAAGATCTGGTTCTTGATTATGATGTGCGCGTTTAGGTTTGTTTGCGTGTATGTGATCGCGTAAATGTGTTTGCGTCTATCTGTGTTTGCGTGGAACTTGGGTATATTTAAAATAATATTATGTTTGTAGATCTGCATGCTTTTATTGCGCGCGGGCGCGCGCGTGTGTGTGTGTGTGTGCGCGTGTGCGTGTGCGTGTGCGTGTGCGTGTGCGTGTGCGTGTGCGTGTGCGTGTGCGTGTGCGTGTGCGTGAGCGTATGTGTGTGTGTGTGTGTATGTGTGTGTGAATGTCAGTATTTGTGAGAATGTCTGTGCGTGCATGTGTGCCTTGGTATGTGTGTATATGTGTATATGTGTGCATAAGTGTTTATATGTGTGTGTGTTTGTATACGTGTAAAAGTGCTTATATAATGTTTGTTTAAAATGTGTGTATGTGAATGAATGGATGGGACACATTTGTGTGTGAGTGCATGTGCAAATGAGTATGAGTGTGCATGAGTATCTCTATATGTGTACTCTATAAGTGTATATGTTTGTGTGTGTCTGTGTGTTTGTATATGGGTTTCTGTGTGTGTTAGAGCCTTGTCCATAGAAGGTGGTGACGTGTGTCTAAGTCTCCTAGCAAGCAGAGAAGAAGAGTCTCAAGCGATCCAAGATTTGGACAGTCAGACCAGACAGCAAATATAAACATCACGTGAACGAAGTGTGGTAGACATGCCTTCAACTTGTCCGTCAGCTTTCAAGAGACAGCGTCAACAAAATGAATGGATGATATAGGGTTTCTCTTTGTTTTGTTTTGCTGGTTGGGTTCGTTTTGGTTTGTGAGGCGTTTGGTTTTTTTGTTTTGTTTTGTTGTTTGTTTTTGGTTCCTATTACATTTTCTTTGGGGGTTTTTATACCTACTTTGGAAATGTGGGAAAACGGATTTTTTTTATAATTTGGGGGGTGGGAAGGGGGGGGGGGTGGGGGGTATAATGAGCAATAATTGGAACAAATGATTTTTTTTCCTTGGACAAATACGAGTAGTATTTTGTCTCGTCATTCTAGGCCATTTTCTGAAATCGTTTCGGCACGTTTTGCTAATTGATTAGAAAATTTTCACATAGGGTTTACAAGGTTGCAGACTATAATCGTAATAAGAAGAACTATAATTATTAGGTATCAAGTTTCTTTAGCGTAATCGAGCACATTTAAATTTCAAACCCAAATATAATCAGTTCAAAAATCTCTGAAGCTTATCTGATCATTAAGAATTATAGAATACATAATTAATGTAATGTTAATGGTCTAAAAGTTGTGGGTGAAAGGGAGAAGGATGGGGTGAAACATGTTCAATTGTAATTATATAATTATACAATCTATAGAGGAAACGTTCTCCATGTTTGTCTACGGGAAGTTTCAACTGGTTGCAAAAAGAATCTGGATAATTGGAACTGGATGTGGATGCGGGTATGTTTTCATTCAAAACTTACGGGTAACATTGCTATTGTCTTAAAACATCTTGTGACAAAAGTGCAATATTGTTTGAGAGAGAGGGGGTGTGTGTGTGAGAGACAGACAGACAGACAGACAGACAGACAGACAGACAGACAGACAGACAGACAGACAGACAGACAGACAGACAGGGATGGAAAAGAATCTGGACAATTTGAAAATCCGAATATCCAGATTTACAAATAAAAAAATTTTTCTGCAATATTAATATGTCATAATAATTAGCCTGTGTGCTACCTATTGAGTGGACAAACAATGTAGACATACTCGATAGTCTTAGCTGTACAAAATCGTTATATGAGTAACAACCATAATAGTTCTTCCAGATAATTAGAGCAAATTTCAATTCTGACTTGGGGGGGGGGGGAATATTATTCATTGTGGATTGAGCTTGTGTCACGGAGCAGCATCGATGTCTTAATGACAGGCTCATTATCTTGTGGTCTATATTTGCGAGTCGATCCTCCTCTCAGGATTGGCTCAGATTCTAACATCTAGTCTTCACGCTCAGAACATCGTGACAAGTCTTGTGTTTGATCCCAAGTTAAGATTGAACATAACGAAATACAGAAACAGCTTCGGTCTCTTTCTGTGTTTGTGAAATGAGCTCTCTGGTCGTTATGTCAGTCCACAACATTAGCTCTCTGGCCGTAACGTCAGTGGACAACATCTCATGTTGTCTCCCAGGTGTCGTGGGAGGTCAGAGGTCAGGGTTAATCAGTGACGCTGTGTCGGCCATTGTCACGGATCTCGTTCTCAGGGTGGTTGTTCAGTTCATGCTAGGCGTCTTCTGCATCGTCGCCAACATCGTCAACATGATCGTCTTCATCAAGATCGGCTTGGAGGACGGTATTACCGTTGCGTTTTTCGCCCTGGCCATCTCCGATTTGCTGTTTGTAGGGTTCTATTTGATGGTTAACGTCCTTGCCTTTTTACATAATGTGCTCAAGCTGCGGCAGTACTTACATTTTGGTTCACTCGCATTTCTGCTAGTCTGGTACAGTTACGCATTCTTCGACGCCTCAATGCTGATCACTGTTTTCCTCGCAGTGCAGAAGTGCGCATGCGTAGCTATCCCCTTGTTGTTCAAAAATGTCTTCACGAGATCGAGATGTGTCGTGGTGGTAGTGGTCATTTACGTTGGCACCTTCGCTTGGTATATGCCTCTTCTCAGCCAGCAAGGAATGTTGGAAAGGTTTGACTCGCGGACAAACACGACCACCTTATTGTACAAAAAACCACCTCACGCTATGTTCATGTTGAATTTGTTCAAATCTGTTAGCCGCACCGTGTTACCTGGAATTTGTCTTTCTCTCATTATCATTTCCGTCATCGTCCTCACCATCAAACTCAAACAAGCCAGCAAGTTCCGACAGGCTTCAGCCTCCCATGGCAACAAAGACAACAACAAAAACTCGGACTCATCTTCCACGAAACAAAACCCCAGCTCTAGCAAAGAGCTTCGGGTCATCAAGGCCGTGACCTTGGTTTCCACCATCTTCGTCGTCTGCTATATTCCCGACATCGTTGTGTCTTGTTGTCAGATCTTTTTTCCAGAATTCTCCGATAGAGGACGATACCGAAACATGAGGAAGCTTGTGGATGAAATACACAGCGTCATGACCACAGTCAACTCGTCCGTGAACATCTTCGTGTATTTCACTTTTAACACTCGCTATAGGGAGAAGCTGGTCAGTTTGAGAGCCCTGTTCCGTAGATCTAGGGTTGAACAGAAAATTGATGTATATAATCAAGAATAAGGAACTATTACACTGGTTTAGGAAAGGTGTGATTGTTTAACGCCCTCTTAATTACATTATTCAAATTAATTTTAAAAGTATTTAACATTCTAAATTAAAGGGTACTTTTTGCTGTTGTTCTTGTTGTTGTTGATTGTTTTTTTAACACCAGCATTTTAATAGAAATTCAGAAACTCCCACGATAGAGGATGATGATTACTTGGATTACTTGGATCCAGAGCTAGAATCAAAACAGGCGGCACATGTCCAAAACTGCTCATCTCTCCTTTCCAGCGTCCACCTCAGGGTCATCCAGCTAATTGTCTCCATGAGGAGCTGTGAGACACGCCTGACCAGTCCTCGGAGCAAACTTTTTTCCCTGTGCCCCGCACACACTTTTCTTTAATTGTGCTGAGTGTGAGGGAGTCTGTCTCCTCTTGGTCGTGAAGGCTGTCCTTGCATCTGGCGATCACCGTTGGTGGGTCGAGCATGATTCAGCCATTGGGTTCTGCTTTGCCAGCAAGTTCATCAGCACGTTCATTTCCGTGCACCCCGGCGTGATCAGGGAAGAACACCCATGTAATCCTTAGGAGGTGGCTATTTGCAAAGGAAGTTCTCCAGTCACTGTAGAGCCACCTACTCCTGATTTTTTCTAGGGTGCTCATCGAATCTGTGACGAACAGGGCATGTTTATACACTCCCATACTGATTCATTCCAGCGCCTCCGTTATTGCCTTAACCTTTCTTGCCATGCTCGATGTAATGCACTCGTAGGCTCCAGACTGTTCTTCAATTATCTTCCCGTCAACTCGAGCACTGAACACCCACCCAGATATCTGGCCACGTCTCACTGATCCGTCGGTGAAGGCGACAACTTCACAAATCACTTAATTTTCCTCAGGGATGGTCACAATTTCCGCATTAGTTGCATTTGCTGGCCACTCGCGACACTCTTGACCTAGCGTAGCTATCACCTCCATGAAGTTGCAAGTGTCTTTCTCCGTCTCATCCAATCACATCATCTTCTTATGTCCTCGATTTCACAACACATATCGAGAGTTCGCTCTGCTTGCACTATCCATTAAGATCCTCTTTTTAATCTTTGGCGTACTTGGTTTCTTATTTTCGGATGTAGAGGGTGATGTTCGTCCACTGTTACTTGTAGGTAGGCCTTGACTTGTGCTAGCTTGTGTCGGTGGGTTAATGTTGGTAGGTCCAGCAGATATCTCATCGCTGATGCTGCTGTGTCACGGGTGCATCCCAGAACAGTTCTTATTCCTTCATTGTGAATGACTTCGAGGTGTTGTAGCTGGGGTTTGGATAGGGTGAGCATACCAAGGCCAAAGTCCACTACAGACAGTAGAACCGAATGAAGCATGATCATTAGGGCGTGTTGTGGCATAGATGCAGCCATCACTCTTAGTGCAACTACATGTAGTCCTGTCCTTGCTCTGGTGATAATGTTAGTCACATGGCCTTTTGCCGAGAGAGTGCGGTCAAGGGTAATGCTCAGGTACCTCAATTTCTCTTGCCTCTCCAACTGCTTACCATGTCTATTAACAGTAGGCATGATAGCCTTTGACTGCCCTGTTGTTGAGACTGGTCCACAGTACCCCTGTCTTCGCAGGATTAATTTTCCATTATTCGGCTTGCACCATTCACCAATTCAATCCAACTCCTCCTGCATGCTCCTTGCACTCAGCTCCCGATCTCTCCCCTGCCTATATACCAATATATCATCAGCAAAAGCTTAGCGTACGGCCAGGTCCCTCCAATTGATTGGCTGTAAGACCGATTGTGAATTGAACAAGACCGGTGACATGGCCGATCCCTGCCGCAGTCCTGGGGTCATAGTCATAGGTTCAAAAGCCCAGCTTCCGAGGCTCAAGGAAACCTTACTTTTTAACAAGGCATAAGATAAGATAAGATAAGATAAGATAAGATAAGATAAGATAAGATAAGATAAGATAAGATAAGATAAGATAAGATAAGATAAGATAAGATAAGATACATCTTTATTGTCAAGATCCTGGCACATAGGTTTGGTGTTTCACCACGTGTACACACACACACACACACACACACACACACACACACACACACACACACACACACATACACACGCGCGCGCGCACACACACACGCGCGCACACACATGCACACACACGTAGGCTTACAATCACATGCATAATATAAATGAGCAGCAATATAAACAATAATAATCGTAAGCTAGATACACACTCAATGTTATTTTGATGCATGCTCAAAGGTCGTTAGTATACTTATATACAAGATGGATACGATGGAAGCATTTTGATAGATGATGGTAAAAATGACCTTCTATATCTTTCTTTGTTACAGATCAGGAGCCTAGGTCTTTTCTTCTGACAGATGTTTTTATTTAATGGAACAAGGGATTTTTGTTGTCTAAAAAGATGGAATTTATTTTTTTAGTGCAAGCTGTTATGTACAATTCATCCAAGTAGAGGAATGTAGATGTTGAAATTGTACATGCTTTCCGTATTAGTCGATTTAATTTTTCTTTATCTTGTTGTCTTGTGTTCCCGGCCCTTGCTGTTATACAAAAATTGATCATACTTTCTATGGTTGAATGGTAGAACATGGAGATCAATGTTGTATCAACCTTAAAAAATACTTAAGCTTCCTTAGAAAAAATTGTCTTTTGTTCACTTTTTTATGCAGGAGAGAAGTGTGGACACGCCAGTTGAGTTTGTTGTCTATTGTAACACCCACATACTTATGGTCTGACACTTGCTCGATGTTTTCAAATTTAATTTTGAGTGGCTGCAGGGGCAGTTTCTTTTTTCTAAAATCAACAACAAGTTCATATGTTGTTGGGTTTTTTTCACATTTAAAAGCAGCTTAAGATTTCACACCATTCAGAAAAGTTAAGTACAAAATTCCGTTAAGTGGTTTCGTTATGGTCAGCCTGAATTAGCCCAATTATTGTTGAATCATTTGCAAATTTTATCAACTTGATGTTACTGTTTTTTATTTGGCAATCGTTTGTACACAGATCATCAATTCAGAGTCGACTTTCATATTGATCATAGTTCGCATGATTAGGCTAAAGGACACCAGGTTATATGCATCTTCTAGATCTATTGCGGAGACAAGTGTCTCTTTTCCCTCCTCAAAACCGTAATACGTCGGAGGCCAAAATTGCCGCATTCCTCCAGGTGTCCTTACCATGGCGGTAGCTTCCAAGTTCCACAGGTATAAGATTGTTACGTTACATAAAATTGAACAGCCACCTGACACCATTTTTTCGATTAGAGGATAATGAGTGAAGAAGAAACAATCAATTTAAAACACACAAACAAATAAAAAACATCACTTATGCATCGTTTGCGGCGTACGAGGTCTGTCTCAGAATAAAGTTCCCCTCCTCCATAAAATCAAAAGTACGCAACCAACAGCTACTAAATTTTGTGACGTCATGACATCATGTCTAAGAAATCTCAACACCAAATTGCAAGTGCATTGGAGAACGGGTCATAGAGCTGTGACGTGTCTAATGTGGTGTTCTTGTGCACTTTGTCCAAGGCAAATACGAAGAAAATGGCAGAGCAAAACATTGGTGCAACCATCTCAGGTTACGATGTCCGAGTTGTGATCAAATTTTCAACTCTTCTTTGCAAGTCTGCTGCTGAAACCCGTGGTGATTTATACAAAGTAATAGGGACTAATGCCTCATCAATTCCAACACTAAGAAAATGGATCAGGGAGGTTGAAGGTGGTAGGTCTGACATGAAAGATGAGGCGCACACAGAAAACACAGGTGATGCACATTGGGTTTTTTTCTCGAATGAGTGGCATCATGCTGGGCTGGCTTGTCACACCTGGCGTAACTGTCAAGGGTGACTACTACAGGTTCGTCCTTAAAAACAAACTGAGACCATGGATTCGGAAAAAAAGACCTGCTTTGCTTGAAGAATGCGTCATCCTGCATCATGATAACGCGCCTGTTCACAAGGCCCGAGTTGTGAACGAGCTTTTTTAGGGCTACTCGTGGGAATTATTGGAACACCCGCCCTATTCACCGACCTCGCCTCTTGCAACTGCCACCTCTTCCACAAGGTGAAAGAAACGCTGCGAGGTCGGCGATTTGAGGACAAGGACCAGATTCAAGAGGCTATGACCTTGGACAAACGATCACTGTCTTTGACCGCTGCGTACATCAAATGGAGACGTTCCTGTATTGAATAGGTATTTGAATAAGCTTTCTGTTGATACCAAATACAGGGTGATTTATAATTATATGTGAGGACAGTATGACAGGGAAACTTTATTCTGAGACAGACCTCGTATATTTTACGCCTTTAGATTATATGCAGGTGTGGCTGGTGGTTTGTGAAACTGAACGGCTATCGTTCATATTGAGATTGAGCTCCTCCCCCTCACAACCACCCCACCTCAACCTCAACCCCCCCTCTGGTCTTCCTCTCGCCCCCCCCCCCCCCCCGGGCGGCCCTCCCGCGCACATACTCACAAAGACACATTTTATACCTGTATCTTTCCTGTCCCCCTCCCCTTTTTTCATAAAACAACACACACTCAACCACACGTAGAGCCCTTAGGAACATAATCCCCGTCTACTAAAATTTCTTATGTACATATTAATAATGTTAACGAGCTGATTTATAGTTTAGTAGTCTGTAGAAACATCGAACCAAATTGATGCCACACCACTGACGCTGTCTCAAGCAGACTAAGTCTAGATCTATGTAGATCTGAAACAATAGGCCTACTATGCACTTAACACATACGCATTGAATAAAACACGCACACAACAATTTCCAATCGCAATTCTACATCAAATACTAATTTTAGAACTCAGAGTCGATCTGGGAGAGAACGGCGAAGGGGAAAAAGGGAGGGGAGTGGGGGGTGGATCCAGACTGACAGCTAAGTGCCGTTCGCTAGTTAGCCCTCGCTCGACTCTCACCTCAGTTAAAATTCCTGCTATACACAATGACTGTTCAAACCACCAATTCGCC